AAAGCACATTATCCTCCTATTTCTGTGGCCAGCTGCCTAATTGTATCTGCTGTAACCACACGCTGCTGGAACATGATACCAATGAAGAACAGAAATGATGAATTACTCCCTGCAGGTGATAGTGATCATGATAATTTTTAATTTCCTTCTTCCTCATAAGGTCTAGTCTGATTTCACTTCATTGGCTGCCATCCTGTTGTATACACACATGATATGTCCTCTTTAAAAAATACTCATCCCACTAAAATACATGAGAAAGCAATTCATTTTTATTCCATGTCATCGTTCTTCAGATGAGCATGTATCATACTACTTTGTATGTATGGGATGAAAAAACAAAATGTAGCTTAAAACAGATTTTTCAAATGGTTCAGTGTACACATGCAATGATTGTGAAATCCACAAAGCAGAAACAAATAGCTCATTCTGAAACTCTTTTCTAATACTTTAGAGTATTTAAGATGCATAATAAAGCTGCATGTCTGTATTATTTTCCTATGTACTTCAAAGTAATTATGGAAGGGTCTCACCAAATTAAAAGCATGCTCAAACTATCCCAGAAATTTACTGTATGCATATATTTTCCTTTCATTCTGTTTATTTCTGTCATCACTGTTGTTCTTAATTACCATTAACTCTTTCTCTCAGTCTTGGTGACTTTATACCTCTATTTTTCTGCCTGTGGTATAAGGCAGTGAATTTTCTTTATTTCGTTGTGCGTTTGCACAGTGTGCCTTTGCAAACTAACCTAGCTCCTGTAGATACTTAATTTCAGTGCTTATTTCTGTCCTTAGCATTCCCCTTGCCCCTAATTAGAGATATATATGGAACAAAAGGGAAATTCATTCTGTGGCCAGGTCTTCCAATCTATCTGATCAACCTCAAGTTGTGCTCCAGTTATTTATTGCCATTGCCTGTTTGGCATCATTTTCCATTTCCCATGCTGGTTGTTTGTTACTGTGTTTGAATGACTTCCACAGAGAGAGAGTGAGCTCACTGAAATTAACATTTAAAACACCTAGATAGAGCGTGTCAAAGTGGTGGTAACAAGGAGGTTAAACTGTAACTGAAAAACAGTTGCATGTTTATATTCTGCAGCAAAATGAATAGTTTTGTCCCCAAATCATCTGACATATTTGATTGTTTATAACATCCTTGCAGAAATAAAAACAGTGATCATAGTTCAACTAGTTTATATGATGTTTCAAGCAAGGTTTTTTCCCTCTTTTTTTCTAATCCCTATTTTAATCATGCAGGATCACATATATTTAAAAAGAAAAAAATGCTCTTTCCCTAAAGTGGCATTCTAGGCCTTGCTTGTATTCGAGGGTAAATAACCATTTAGTTCTCTGATGAGTAAAATTATGTGCATGTGATTTTAAATCCCAGGTGAATTTTTTTCTGAGTTCTCATGCTTCTGCTTAATGTTTGCCATGGGACTGATCTTAGCACTACCTTTAAAAAAACATCATTAGGAAGGTAGATCTGCATGAAGAGTTGGAGATCCTATAATGTCCTTCACAGGGAACTATGATATAGATATGCCTTCTATTTTTCTTTCTTATTTTGTCTTTGGGTTTATAAACTATTTGTTTTTTGGTTATGCTAAACTCTCCATTATTTCTTTCACTGTATTTTGGGGTATCTGCGGGAGGGTTAGTTTCTTTTTTGATAACTAAATTTCATAGATAATTATATTTAGGAATTGAAAGACAATTCTGAAATGCCTTTATATTCTCAAATCTTTTTTGTTTTTTAACTTTGTTGTAAACTTGTGTATCAGCCTCTTGTCTTCATTAAGACCTATGCTTTATGATTATAGTTCCGTAATGTTCTGTTATATTAACGTTACCAGCCTGGTTTTTCTTTTCTTTTTTTTTTTACCAGAGTTAAATGGGCCATTTCACTTCATGTATTTTATATATTTCAAACTCTGGTCGCATTTTCTGATAATGTTGTTAAGAGCTGCTTTCCAGCCCCAATTTGTTGTTTCCACAAAAGGTTTTATTAGGTCACTGAAGTTTTTCTTTCCTCACTTCCATTTTTGGTAACATAGAGTATACAACACATGTATGACTTAAAGAATAATTTTAAGGTAACTGTCTCCCTCTAGAACCCACTTATAAAATCTTTAGAAGTCGTCTTAATGTTTTCATATATACGCTGCGTGCGTGCTCAGTTGTTCAGTCGTGTCCGACTCCTTGCAGCCCGACAGACTCCTCTGTCCATGGAATTACCTAGACAAGAACAGTGGCGTGAATTGCCATTTCCTACTCCAGGGTACTCTTCCCAACCCAGGGATTGAAGCTGCATCTCTTGCACTGGCAGGCAGATTCTTTACCACTAAGCCACTTGGAGAGTCCATCCCCATATGTACACTACTATGTATAAAATAGGCAGCTAATGAGGACCTACCATACAGCACAGGGAACTCTGCTCACTGCTCTGTGGGGACCTACAGGAGGTGGGAATCCAGAAAGCGGGGATACATGCATGTATATAACTGTTTCAGTTTGCTGTGTAGCAGAAACAAATAGAGCATTGCAAAGCAACTATTCTTCAGTAAAAATTAATACAAACCAATACAAATAAAAGTTTTCAAAGATTTTATAATAAAATATATATACGTATAGTAAGGGCTTCAATAATTTCTATTACTGTTACTGTTCCATTTGCGTCTTTTCTTCTCTACTTGCTACTTTAGGGACTTCCCTGGTGGCTCAGATGGTAACGTGTCTGCCTACAATGTGGGAGACCTGGGTTCGATCCCTGGGTTGGGAAGATCTCTGGAGAAGGAAATGACAACCCACTCCAGTACTCTTGCCTGGAAAATCCCATGGATGAAGGAGCCTGGTGGGCTGATGTCTACGGGGTCGCACAGAGTCGGACACAACTGAAGTGACTTAGCAGCAGCAGCAAGGGAAATAATCAGAGATAACAGCTGAATTGAATGCCTCTCCATTCAGTAGTAAGGATTATTTAGATCAAGTCCTATTAAAAATAACATATTTTTCACAATCCTTCATATTTGTGAGAAATGGATAGATAAACATGAAGAATCTCCATATCCCAAATATGTCCAAATCTATTACTTTCAGCAGATCTTTCCAGATAGTTATATATTCACATTTGTGTAACACAGAATATGTGCCCCAAATAAATACATATTATTCTTTTCACTTAATAGTATACCAAAACTCTTTTCCAAATCAGTAAATATTTATCTGTAGGTTTACTTTTGATGACCAAACAGTATTCTGTTATTTGTAGTTTTTATGATTTATTAACTGATTACCTGTTGAAAATTTGGGCTAAAATTGACATAGTTAAATCGTGGCAAGCATACTTAATAATTTCCTTAGAATAATTTTTGAAAGTGTTGAATTACTGGATCAACAAGTATTACATTGTAAAAAATCTTAATTGAGTGTATGAAAACAGAAGAGTACGTAAGTCGTAAGTAAAGTTTAATAAAATTACACAAAGAGATTTTTCCCTCATGTTTATATACCTAGCATTCAACTTAAGAAACAGACTATTTCCAGAAACCCAGGAGCCCACCATGTAACCCCTCCCAGTTTCTGTCCTTGTCACAAGGATAACTCGTCTTCTGACTTGTCACACTATGAGTTAGGTTTGCTATTTTAGAATTTCTGTATATAAATTGAGTCATGTCATGTGTGCTATTTTGCATCTGATTTCTTTTTAATATGTATTAGTTATTTTCCCTAGAAAAGTTATTTCATTTTATTTTCCCAGCATGAATGCTTCTTTCTCTGCTGTGAATACTGTCATTCAAAAACACAATCAAGGACAATTGTATCCAGTTGTCTTAATTTACTTATTTTTTTCTAAGTAGGTGAAACAGTTTTTTTAATATGTCTATTAATCATTTGCTTTTCTTTTGTAAATCTCTTGCTTTGTGTTTTGTTAGCTTCTTTTGATGCGTTGCTGTCTTACTAATTTGTAGTAGCTTAATGTACAAAGAACAGTGGCCCTTTGTTATATGTATGGCAAATATTCTCTGATCTTTTATTTATCTTTTAGTTTTGATACTAAAATTTAAATTTTTCTTCTGTTAAGTTTCTGCCTAGTGTATGATGCTTGAAGAGCATTCTCTATTTGCAGACTTTTAGACATTGTTTATTGTTTAGATTTCATTCTTCCCCCTACCCTCCAGCCCTTGCGCTGATCTTTGTGCTTATGTATACTTACATTGAAAACCCCATCAGGGGTTACAATTTTTGTGTTAAATAATCATAGGTATCAAAGAAATTCAGAGGGGGAGCGTAGTGTTTTATAGTTACCCAACTGTTTATCATTTCTGTTGTTTTCTCATTTTTGGTATTTCAGGTTTCCTGCCAGTATTATTGCCTGTCAGCCTGAAGAACTTTCTTTAAAATGTCTTCTAAAAAACCTGTTGGCAATGGATTCTTTAATTTTCCTTCACTTGGAAATATTTTTATCCTTCATTCTCTAAAGGATAGTTTTCCTGGATGTAGAACTTTTAAAGTGTTTTGTTTTGTTTTGTTTTTTTTCCTGTTCCATCGTATTTTTCTTTTCAGTCTGGACCTCCAGTCAGATGTCTGTTTAGCTCCATAGGTCCCCAAGTCTCTGGGCATTTTATTTCAATCTTTTCCCCTTGTTTTTTAAAATTGGTTTGTTTCTGTTGGTCTCACTTCAAAGTCACTGACTTTTTTCCCTGTATCTTCTCCATTCTACAATTCAGCCTAGAAAGTTTTTTGTTTCAGTTAATTGTGTTTTTCAGTTTAGGTTCTCTTCTTGTCATTTCTGTTTCTCCACTGAGAATTTCTCTCTTGATTTATTTCAGTGTCTTTCTATTACGGCATTGCTATTAACTCATACCAACATAGTTATAGTTTCTGCTTTAAGTCTTTGTCTGATAGTCCAGCATCTGGGTCATCTCAGCACTGACATCTATTGAATGTCTTTCCTCTTGACAGTTGGTTCCATTTTCCTGGACTTTGTATGTTGAGTAGTATTGGATTGTATCCTGGATATTGTGGACTCTTTGCTGACTTACCATCATCTGGACCGTATTGATGTTTGGTGTCAACAGGCAGGCAGTCCAGTTAAAGTCAAAACATAAGTTCTGTCAGCAGTGTCTCAGCAAACAGTGATTCAAACCTCATTTCTGTTCTCTAAGAGTTTGCTGTTCTGTTTTGGGTTCTCTCCTGCAGGAACACAGTTTAGGAATTGGTCTGAGACTTACATGGTTTTTTCTGTTTGACCGAATTATATAGTATTTTGATTCTCTCTTGGTATCTGAAGCATAATAAACCTCAAGGTTAAATACTGAATTTGATTTGGGCCCAATCTGCATTAACCCTGTGGAATCAATAAAACACCACAGTCTTAACAAAAGCAGGAAACTATACAAATTAGCTTTATGAGACTTTTAAATCAGTTTTAATTTTTAACACTTTATAAGCTTTATTTAATGCCAGTTTTAAAATACGTTGAGTTGAGCCTGTCCCACTAGTGAAAGAAAAAGGAATGGTATCATTTAAACTTTAAACAAGAAGAAATTAAAATTTATATTTGATTGAACATATTAATTTCTTCTAGAAGCCTTTTATACAGTTACAGTGAACCTTAGAGTTACATCAGATTTCTTCTTCGAGTGTATACCTAAAACAAGTTTTATTTGAATGGTGTAATTTTTATTTTCAGAAACAAAATATGTAATATTTTAAAATTTCATTTATCTCATCACAAAAATAATCATAGTACTTTGCTTTGAAATTGGATGAGTTAAATCAGAAGAAATGAAATGAACTGGGTTTGTACAAAAGAGTATGTGTCAGTTATTTATTTCTGTGTACCAAACCACTCCAAAACCTAGTGCATCGACGTCAAATCATGTAGATTTATTTGTCTCTGTTTCTGTAGTCTGGATTGTTCTGTTGGTCTAGTTCAGTACTAGTTCTGGTCTCTCCTGGGCTATCTCACACTGCCGCGGCTGTATGGAGACTTGACTCAACATGGCAGCATCTCGGTGGGAGAGTCTGGATGGGTAAGGGGCCGGATGAGCCTCGCTCCATGTAGATTCTCACTTTTCAGTGGGCCAGCACTGTCATTTCTCTAATTGAACACATGTTGAGTATCTGATTAGCCTTGTTACCCTTATTATCTTGTTTATATGGGGAAAAAACAAGTTATATTACTTTATTTTTATTTATAACATCTTTTCTAGAGAAACTAGTGACCTGCCATTTGTTTAGGAGTGTCTGATCTTTGAAATGGTTTATTTGCCCTGACTTAAAAGACCATGGAATCAATTGTTACATGATTAGTTTAATAATTATTTATATTACTTCTTTTAAAAAACAGGCAATTGCTGGCTACTTTGATATATATTTTGAGAAGAATTGCCACAACAAGGTAAGTATCTCATAACTAGGCAAGTATTTTATTTTTGTGCCCCAAGGTATTTGATCATAAGCATTTTGCTTTTGTAAGTAGTTGGAGCTTGTATTTGATGTAGTAAATTAATGTACCATGATATTAAAAATCTTTTACTTCATAAGACATTTTTTAACTCTACCAATGCAGGTTGTGTTTTCTACGGGCCCACTGAGCACCAAAACACACTGGAGACAAACAATATTTCTCCTGGAGAAGCCATTTTCAGTTAAAGCAGGTAAGAAAGAAAGGGGGCGAGTGTCTTACTCATTCTGAAACAAACAGTATTCATCCATTCTGCAACCACTTTTTCTGTGCCCACTGTATCTGAAGCAATGTAGCATACTAAGGTTAGTAGTTCTTAGAGTTTACCATGTACATAAAGTTAGGTGGCATATCATTTCATTAAAGAAGTAAGTTAAAACTTTTATTTGAATCTAATGTCTGCCAGTTACAATGTATGTGCCATTATGTAGCTATTATGTTGAGTACTACATAGTAATTCAGAAAATTTTTCGTTAAGCATTAACTAGTATGTACTTAGTTGAAACTATAAATAAAAGAAAATATTTTAATTTCCCAAGTGACTAAACAGAAATATCACCAATAGAAGTAAAGTATAAATTAAAAGAGAATGTTATTCAGCAGTTACTATATTCAAAATATATTTGTTTAGAATGCTCTCCACTGTGTCCACCTCCTCAGATCTTACGTAGTGACTGATCCGATGCTGCATTCCTTTGTTTTGCATCTTGTTGATTGTTCACTTAATGAGCACCAATAGTTCTTATATATCTACACATTTAACACCAAAAGTTAGAATTTGATTATGGAATCTTTTTTTTTTTAATTTTAACTGCTTGTTACATGCATGTCTTGTCCCATCTTCACTTGAAAGCCTCTTGACTATGGGAAAACTGAATGTACACCAAACCTCAGTGCAGAGATACTCAACATCAGATTATTTGTGTGTCTCTCAAAAGCAACATTGAGCAAAGATTTGCAGAAGGATCCCTAAAATATATGATTTTGATTTATATGAAGTTTTAAAAACATGTAAAACAACAGTATATACACACACCTAGTAAATTAAGAAACAACACTTAAGAATGATAACCACTGAATGCATCAAAGTGGTCACCTCTAGAGAAGAATAGAAATAAGATTGCAGAAAGGGGCTTTAGTGCCATATATCTGAACTATTTCTCTGAAAAACTGAAGGAACTGTGCAGAATGTCAAGATTTGACAGAACTGAGCAAGTGGTCATTATATCCTTCTCCTTGTTTAAAATATTTCATAAATTTCTAATATAGTTTTGATTTCACTATTGAAGTGTAAAGGAATTTAGTAGATGCGACTGAACACCATTAGAGTAAAGCAGCACTGTGTTGTTACTCTTTCACTTTGAGGTTGTGATGCTCTGGAAATGAAACCTGATGGTGTCGTTTTCTCTTTCTCTGGAAAGTTATAGCACAGCAAAACTGAAATGAAGCGAAGACATCTTCAGTTATGTTTTGTTGCTTTTTTTTAGCTCTGATATTTGGATGAACTTTGGGGAAGTTGAAAATACTGCTTTTTTCCTCGCTGTAACCATTTGTTGTCTTACTACTAGAATTCTAAAGACAGTACTAATTCTTGCATGTTTTAATCTTGAAAGAGATTTAAGACAGCCTTTGAATTTTCTCCTACCGAATTGCGACACAATATTATTTATACCTAGTGAAATTTTGAAATCCTAACTATTCTTTATACAGTAATCCTTTGAGTAATTGATTCGCTTTCTCAGAATACTATGAAGAAGGTATATGATTCTAATGTTGCCCTGTGGCACCATCTACATTCTGTATTTCTTTCATTGCCATTGTGTATACTTACATTTAAATAGTAAGTCCAGTAGGCTCCCCTAAAAGAATATAACCTGAGGAAAGTTTGTGAAAGCAACATTTCAAAGAAAAAGTAGTCATTCTCAGTTACAAGAATTTTTTTTTTTAACTCTACTAATCATTAGCCTCTGATTGTATTACTGATGAATAGAAGCCAGAAGCTGTGGGGCAGAGTATTGGGATAGAAGCTAGTCAGAAAAAAAGATAACTAGGGACCTCTGTATCAGTATCAAACATGTTGATAATTATATTAAATATAAATGGTCTGTACATCTAAAAGATAAAATTTCATTCAGCGCTAAGAAGAAATGAGCTATCAACCTGTGAAAAAACATGGAGGAATCTTAAACACATATTACTGAGTGAAAGAAGCCAGCCATTTAAAGAAATAATACCAACTCTACACAGTCTCTTCCAGAAAATAGAAAAGAACTGATTTTATGAGGACAGTATTTCTTTGATATCAAAAATTAGACAAAGATAGTACAAGAACATTAAACTATAGACCAGTGTCCCTCAGGAATAAATCCTCAACAAAATAGTAGCAAATTGAATCCAGTGATGTGTAAAAAGAAAATACACTGTAACCAAATGGGTTTTATTCCAAGAATGCAAGGCTGAGTCAGTATTTTAAAATCATGTAATGTAGTCCATCATGCCACAGTCTAAAGAAGAAAAACTACATGATTATATCAGTGGATGCAGAAAAAAAAGTTGGACAAAATGTAATATCAATTCATGACAAATACAGCAAACTAGAAATAAAAGAGGGCTTCATCATCCTGACAAAAGGCATCCATATAGTATATAGCTAGCATCATGCTGAATAAAGAAAGACTAAATTTGAGATAAGGAAACGGTGTCTACCTGCACCACTCCTACACTCTTGTGGTTTTTTTTTTTTAGAATTTATTTTAATTGGAGGATAATTACTGTACAGTATTGTGATGTTTTTTCCATTTATCAGTATGAATTGGCCATAGGTATACATGTGTCTCCTCCATCCTGAACCCCCCCATCTACCTCCTACCCTATCCCCCTCTAGATTGTCACAGAGCACCAGTTTTGGGTGCCCTGCCTCTTGCATCAAGCTTGCACTGGCCATCTCTTTTACATATAACGATGTATATGTCTGAATGCTATTCTCTCAAATCATCCCACCTTCTCCTTTTCCCACGGAGTCCAAAAGTCTGTTCTTTACACCTGGGTCTCCTTTGCTGCCCTTTATGTAGGATCGTTGGTACCATCTTTCTAGATTCCATATATGTGCATTAATATGTGGTATTTGTCTTTCTCTTTCTGACTTCACTGTGTATAATAGGCTCTAGGTTCATCCACCTCATTAGAACTGACTCAAATGTGTTCCTTTTTATAGCTGAGTAATATTCCATTGTGTATGTGTACCACAGCTTCGTTCTCCATTCATCTGCTGATGGACATCTAGGTTGCTTCCACATCCTAGCTGTTGTAAATAGTGCTGCATTGAACATTCAGGTACATGTGTCTTTTTCAGTTGTGGTTTCCTCAGTGTATGCCCAGTAGTGGGATTGCTGGGTCGTGTGGTAGTTTTATTCCTAGTTTTTTAAGGAACCTCTGTATTGTTCTCCATAGTGGTTGTATCAGTTTGCATTCCCACCAACAGTGTAAAAAGGTTCCCTTTTCTCCACACCCTCTCCAGCATTTGTTACTTGTAGACTTTTTGATGATGCCCTTTCTGACTGGTGTGAGATGATACCTCATTGTGGTTTTGATTTGCATTTCTCTAATAATCAGTGATGTTGACCATCTTTTCATTTGTTTATTAGCCTAAACAAAAATTAGACAAAGATGGTACAAGAAAATGAAACTACAGACCAATGTCCCTCGCAAATAAATCCTCAACAAAATAGTAGCAAATTGAATTCAGTGATGTGTAAAAAGAAAATACACTGTGACCACAGTGTATGTCTTCTTTGCACTCCTGCAATCTTATGCTGGAAGTCTTATTAGTACAGTAAAAAATGAAAAAGACTTAACCATTGGGAAGGAAGGAATAAATCTGTTATTATTCATAGATAATGTATACATAGAAAACTCTAGGAAACCTACCAAAAAAAAAAAAAAACAGAGCTAGTAAGTGGATTTAGCAAGGAAGAAATTAACATGCTGATTCTAAAATTTATATACAAATGACCTAGACTATTGTAGCCAAACAATTTTAAGAACCATATTGTACTTCTTAACACTATGTAAATTCTAAACTTAAAAATTATATTCATACAAGCAGTATAGTATTGACAAATAACAGATGGATATATTAAAAAAAACAGATGGATATATAGATTAATATACCAATAGAAAATCCAGAAATAGCCTCATTTTTGCATAGTCAGTTAAGTTTTTTCAAAGGGCCAGTATAAATTTAATTGGAAAGGGATAGTCTTCTCAGAAAATTGTGTTAGAACAACTGAATATTCATAACGGAAAATAATGACTCTTCTTATCTGACACCAAATGTATAAAAACTGACTTTAAATGGATAATAGACCTAAATATAAAAGCTTAAAACTGAAATTTCTAGATGATAACATAAGAGAGCATCTTGATACTTGAGGTAGGTAAAAGTTTACAAAAGTGAAATATTAAGTAAAACTCATTGAACTGCAATTTTACATGTTATAGTTTTATTATATATAAACTACACCTTAATAAAGTTAAGGCAAGGGTGGGATGATTTGAGAGAATAGCATTGAAACATGTTTGTTATCATATGTGAAATAGATAGCCAGTCCAGGTTGGATGCATGAGACAAGGTGTTCAGGGCTGGTACACTGGGATGACCCAGAGGGATGGGATGGGGAGGGAGGTGGGAGGGGGATCAGGATGGGGAACACATGTACACCCATTGCTGATTCATGTCAATGTATGGCAAAAGCCACTACAATATTGTAAAGTAATTAGCCTCCAATTAAAATAATTAACTTAAAATTTAAAAAAATAATAACCCTTACTGGACCATAAGTATATCCAGGATAAAATCCAGATTCTTTACCATGACCCTTTACAGTCTGACCATTTTTCATCATTTCCAGCCCCGACCTGTCAGAACCCCACAGAAGTGCATCATATGCTCCAGCTGTACTGCTCATTTTTAGCTAACTTTCCTATCATTTTTTCCTCCTTGCCTTTATCTGAGATACTGTTTTACCTAGGAAACTACTTTGACCTCTTTCACTTGATGAATTACACTTTTCCCTTTATAACCCAGCTTATTTCTGTACATCTTTCCTCATTGTCCATAGAAAGTTAACTGTTCTGTTTTTTTTTTTTTTCCCCAAATCAATTCACACATATATACCAGTGTGCTCTGATAAG